CATCGTGCGGTAGAGAGGAAGCTGAAAGGAAGAGGAAGAGACTTTCTCTCTCGGGCGGAGAGGAGATCCTTATTCACTTTCCCTGATATCGCATCCGTCCACGCGCGTTCAACGTGCAGGATCAGCAACGCGAGATCAGCTAAGCGATAGCACATTGAAAGAAAAATTTTTGATATTTGCAACATAATTGCATATTACTGTAATTATGATTATTACTGTTATACTGTTAACAGTAATAACTGTATATATGGTTCAACAAATATATACATAGAGTTGGCAATAAAAAATGAAATATGATTGGCCCAAAAAAGTGACTACAAATTATATAATTAAATTATAGTAACTACAATTTTTATGGATAATAATAACTATAATTATAGCAATTATCTGTTGCTGTATATATTTGTTATTATAGTAATAATAATCATCATGATTATAAAACATGTAATTATAATTGTAAATTTTTCTCTTTTTAATGCGGGGAAAATACGCTATATATCGCCAGATTACAAAATAGAATAAATTTTCGATAAATCCGGAAAAATCTGACGCGATGCAGCATATCGTCACGCAATTATTTGCGAGAAAGCAGAAATTGAAAGAAACTGTTCGAAGCACAAGCATGACAAGTTTGTAATTGTTAAATCGGCCGGTTATCTAACAATAAATGAGAAGATAAATCCGAATACTTGACTATTTATGCTTATTTGGTTTTTTATCCAATTCCTTGCGCAACTTTTTATATTTAAATACCCATTACGACACACATACAATGCGAATCGTACGGAAAGTACGATGCTGTTCTCGAAGAAAACGATGCATTCAAGACGATATTGAATTAACATATCGATATAAGAAAAAGCGATGCAAACACGAGTGACAGTATAATTATAACGTTTTCACCGACGCACCGCGATTGATATTGGACGCCCACGACATGCGGTACCACGTGTCGCATGTATATATGTGTGTATATATCTGTATATCGTGTGTATCAATGTTAAGGTCACCAACAAGGTAGTCCCAGAATTATCACCAGATAAAGAAATGGCGTCTCGGAACGTATCGTTATTTAGAATCTGCTTTCATTAAACATAAGAGTGATATAAGAGATTTTATTGCTACATAATATTAATATTAATTAATATTAATATTAATATTAATATTAAAATTAATATTAA